GGTGTTACCCATAGTCCTAAGTAAGCTTGTCCCTGTTAACCGGGAACCTTATTGTCTCAACTGAGAGCCTTGCCTGTCCCACTTACCTGGGAACTTACCTTGTGACTAGTCACCCTGTCCGCGATGAGTTCTGAACAGCTGAGGTCCCCGTACGGGCCACCACTTGGCGTCCCTGGGTGGGCACAAACCACCAACCTTTTTGCCATCTTGGCTCAGGCCGTGCTCTCCACAGTGGAGGAATGGAGGTCCAGTCCTGTGCTCCCTGGGGTGGCTCTAATGAGTTCTGAGATGGGACAAAGGGAACAAATGGGTTCATGCTGGAAGCTGCTCCTATTGTTATTTAGGGCCGGCCCCTCTGCCCGTTTCCCAGAATCAGCACCATAGATCGTTGTTTAGTTAACAGAGTGCGATTTTTATGAAATTTGCACTTGCAATCCCTAACCCAATGAAATCCTTTCTGACACCTGGGACACAGAGACCTTGGTCAAGAGCTCTCATTAGACTGTTGCATCAGGGCTTCCTGCAACCCTTGTTTAGCTGGGCAGTCCCTACTAATATGGCCAGGCTGCCCACAGTTATAACAAGTTAAAACTGAACTGTTTTTTGATTTATTGTTACCATTTTGCATTCCCTACACAAATTGTGCATAAGTTTTTCAAGGTGGCGGCTATTGCCATACCCTGCCATACCCTGCATAACGGCAGGGTTAATATCAGCACACTGCCTGATAAAATCAGTTAATTGTCCTGTTTTCTAATCAGTCTAATCAAAGCTTGGCAAGTACTGTTAGCATTCTTGAAAGCCAACTGTTTAATAAGGATATCTGCTGCTTCTGCATTAGAGATTACTCTATTTACTGCTGTTGTAAGTCTAGAGAGAAATTCCTCATAAGTTTCATCTGTTTTCTGCTTAAGATCAGATAGTGAGGTAGTCTGAGTAGAATTAATAGGTAACTTCTTCCAAGCCTCACTTGCACAAGAATTTACCTGGAGTAAAACTTCCTTGGGTAAGATTAGTTGACTGTCAACTGACTCATATAATCCTTTTCCTAACATCATATTGCTAGAAATATGAAACTGATTTGGATCCCTCTGCTGATTAACAGCCCTCTGGATCCTTACCTGATCTTCAAATTCAGTTTTCCATAGTAAATAGGCTCCTCCTGACAAACAGCTTTTAGCAAGTTGTCTCCAATCTTGTGGTGTCATCCACTGAGTGAGAAATTGTTCCATAATAGTAATAGTATAAGGAGCCGTAGGACCATACTGAGTACAAGCCTCTTTAAGTTACTTAGTTAATTTATATGGTAGAGGCTCCCAGTGAGGTGCCTCATTTACTGTGCCTTCTTCCATATAAATTACTGGAAAGTAAGAAGACAAGGTAAAATCTCCCTCTTTCTCAGCCTTTTTTCTGGCTCCCTGCATATCTACATTAGCCAGAGACACATACCCAGGTGTGAATTTCGGTGTTTTCACCTTATTTCTAGTAAAGGGTATGGGAGGAGGTACCTTGGCAACATTACCAGGATATTTTTGCTTATGATACCCAATCACTTCCTCCTCCAACTCCATTTCCTCCTCGGGAAAAAATTCATCGTCTAAAGGAGGCGCTGAGGCTACGGCCAACAGGGAGTGTCTTTATTTTTGGCTGGAATTTTAGAGAAATCATGCTGTGGATTTAAAGCATCTCAGATAATATTCCATAAAGCTAAGGCATACAAAATGCAAAAGGCAAGCCAATCGGTTCCTTTATTGAACAATATGTTCAAAATACTAGTAGACATGTTCCTTTCTTTAGATTCACTCTAGTCCATGATTCTATCATGGCTCTTAAACTGCTCACCCTTTCTTGCTCTGCCTGTCTCTACAGAGGGATCCGCGGCACCCTGGGTGAGGTCCTATCCATCCCAAAAAAGAAAAAGAAAGCTTACCTTGAGGTCCTACGTCCAGGTGCCACTTGCCAGAGTCCAGCTCCAGCCAGGTTCAGGGTACCCCAAAGGTGGAGACGGCATCAGTGATTTGGGGGGAGGAAGAAAGAGAAAGAGAAAGAAAGAGAGAGAGAGACTGGACCCCTGTCTAGTCCAGAAGCCATTTATTGGGAATTACAATGGGTATTTTATACACAGTCAGGTGTTTTGAGGGGCATTCCCCACCCACCAGATGTTCTTTCAGGTATAATCCCATAACAGATGTTAAACCTAATCCATGAAACCTTAATCCATGACTGCCTTAAACCCTTCTTGTACTGCCTATAAACCCTTTTCATACTAATACCAAGTTAAACAATTCTATAGAGACTTAAGTACTTTACAAACTAAAGTGGCCCATCCCAGAATGTTTGGAATGTGGCCCAGTCCAAAGTTCACAGTGAGCTACCTGCGAGTAACCCAGCTGCATTCTTTCAACAAAAATGGCTGTCTTCTAAAACTATATTCTATAATTTACACCTTATTCAACTTCAATAAATCCTAAGATCATGACCCAGAAGCCTGTGACCAATACTAAGGCTCTTAGATGTGACCTGAGTTTGAATTGTAAGTTGTATGAAAGCCAAAACTGCAGTTTGTGGAAGAATGGGAGCAATGAGCTTCTAAAGTTAGCTTGTGTTCGTCCCGGTCTCAGAGTTTTTATGTTTTGAGCTCACAGGAGCTTTATCTGGTTAGTGCTGAGTAGAAAGGGGGGGGAAATGGGGTCAATAGCTCCTGAACGCATCCTAGTGGTCTAGGGGTCAACAGCCCTTCCTGATCCCTAATGCTCAGTGGGCCTCCGTGGCCGGCTCCCAACATACCACATTTTTTCCATCCAGTCCAGCTTTGATGGTTGGTTCCATGTTTTTGTTGTGAATAGAGCTGCAACAAACATACGTGGGCAGGTATCTTTTTTGTAGAATAATTTGAGTTCCTTTGGGTATATTCCCAAGAGGGGAATTGCTGGGTCATATGGAAGGTCAATTTCTAGTTCTTTCAGAAATCGCCACACTGTCTCCCAAAGAAGTTGTGCTAGTCTGCATTCCCACCAGCAGTGTAGAAGCATTCCTTTTTCTCCACATCCTCATCAGCACCTGTTGTTGTTTGTTTTATTAATCATGGCCATTCTTACTGGGGTTAGGTGGTATCTCAATGAGGTTTTGTTTTGCACTTCTCTGATGATGAGTGAGGCTGTGCACTTTTTCATGTGTCTGTTGACTGTCCATTTATCTTCTTTTGAGAAGTGTCTATTCATGTCTTTTGCCCATTTTAAAAATTTTTTGGGGGGGGTTAATTTTTTATTTCAAAAGTTTGGATAGCTTCAATATCCAGGTCATGGCAAAATCAGGACACGTGTAAAATACCTTACAATACATTAGATTCCCAAAAGATACCAAAAAGTACAGTAAAATTAGCACTTCCATTGCAGAAAATGTATGACACAAATAATATAAAATTAAAAGGTGATACTGGTTTCCTAGGATACAGTTTTATTCTTTACAACTAGGGTCCTCAGGTTCAGGCTACAGAGCAGAGAGGGAGGCAGCACACCCCACCCCCCCAAGCTGATTCTGGGTGTCCCGGTCATCAAATCAGTCCTTAATGCTGCTCTGGCCTGAGACACCACACACTGCCTAAGCAACTAGAGCTCTGGAAAGAGTAAACAGGAGAGTGATTTCCAGGGGGAGAATTTTAAATAAGGTGCACATGGGACAGGCTGTAGAGAGTTTACCAAGTTAAATTTGGTACATAATTGTTTGTGTTCACTCTATACCCAGACAAAGCACATGCACAGCTGCTGGTCACTCCTCGCTGCCTCAGTATGGCTTGTAGTTGTTCTGGTGGCCCCTACACCATTGGCTTTTGCCACAGTTTATGCCGTCTTGACTGTAGTCGTAGCTGGGGCCGTAGCCATCATAGCCATTGGGTGAGTAGTGGTAGCTACCATAGCTGGCCCCCAGCTCTGCTGATAGCCATAGCCCTGGTTCCAGTAGCTGCGGTATCCCTGTTTCCAACTCTGACTCTGACATCCACGGCCATTGCCCCTGCCCTTGGTTCCCTCAGATGCAGTTCCCACGGACCCCAGAACCATACTGCTGTGGCTGATAGACCTCTTTGGGCTGGGCCACCTTGATTTCACACTTGCTTCCACGGATCATGTGGAACTTTTTCTCCAGAACCTTCTTCACAGGTTCTTCCTCTTTAAAAGTGATAAACACAAAACCTCATCTTTTGTTCAGCTTTGGATCCATTGGCAGCTCCATGGCCTCAATCTCCCCAAACTTGCCAAAGTACTCCCTGATCTTCTCCTCTGTGGCTTCAGAATTCAGACCCCCAACAAAGACTTTCTTTACCGGGTCCTTCTTCATAGCCATAGCCTTCTTAGGGTCAATGACACGGCCATCCAGCCTCTGCTCCTTCTGGTCCAGGATCTTCTCCACACAGGCTGCATCTTTGAACAGGGTGAACCCGAACCCTCTCGACCGTCCGGTGTTGGGGTCCATCTTTATCGTGCAGTCCATGACCTCTCCAAACTTAGTAAAATAGGCTTTCAAGTCCTTTTGGCTGGTGTCCCACCTCAGGCCTCCAACGAACATTTTCCCCGAGTCCTCCTCGTTCTTGCTGGCATTGATCTGGCCGCCCTTGGCACCATCTGGCTCCCGCTCACAGGCGCCGCACTCCTGGGCCAGCTGCCCCATGGCCCGATGCGCCCTCGAGGGCGGCCTCATACCTGTTCTCAGTGGCACCCGTCATCTCCATGGGTTGCTCCTTGCCTGCGTCTGACATGCTTGGCCCTGGTGCAGTGACCCTTGCCTCCGAGGCCGCCATGCACCCTGCTTGTCCCCACCCGCCGGGAAGGCGCCATGGGCTCATGCTCCAAGGCCTCCCCGCCCACCTGCAGAACCACCGCCACCACCACTACAGCCTCCTGGCCACTGCCGCCACCACCGCCACCCACCGGGCAGACCCCCTGCCCATGGTGGTCCGCCGCTGACTCTTATGCCCACTTTTTAAAGGGGCTGTTTGTTTTTTTCCTTTCAGCATGTTTGAGTTCCTTGGAGATCCTAGATGTTAGGCCTTTGTCAGATATACAGCTGGCAAATATTTTTCCCATTCTGTGGGCTGTCTCCCTGCTCTCTTGACGGTTTCTTTTGCTTTGCAGAAGTTCGTTAATTTGATGAGGTCCCACTTGTCTATTTTATTTCTTAAGATATTGGCCTTAGGGT